CATACATTGTACTCATCAGGTAATCGATATCTTCTTAACCATGGATCATTTCAGACAGCTCTTCGTCTATACTTCATCCACTGAACGCTTGCTTGTATGGTTTCCGGCTCGCTTCTATACAGTGGTTGAGACGAAATATGATTTTACCTGCGTTCTGTCGGGTCACATTGAAAAGAAGTTTGTCCACAACTGTCTCACTGGCTACTTCCCTTCAAACAGAACAAACAGCTCCTTCACACAATGGAGAGCGCCCCGAAACTTTCAAGGTCAGTAGTCATTATTGTTGGAGCGCCTTTATCTAGATCAACTTTTCCAGAGGTTGTTAGGGTACGGTCATACTTTGCGACAATTTTGCAGTTCGCGTGTGGAGTAGGTTCGTATCGATTATGTGATGGTACGATCGTATGATCGACTCGTATCCACTTCCCACTCGCGCTGCAAAGGTCGCAAAGTATAACTGTACCTTAAAGAGTCAGGTGATTAGGTAGCTTGGGTCCAAGATCAGATAACTTGGTCCAGCCAGTGTTTTGGTTCTTTGTTTCCCTTGTAAGCCTTGATCACCTCTACTGTGACGCGAGGGGAACTATCCACATGGGAGCTAACCTATACTTGTTTGGAGAGTTTACAAATAAGTTCTCGCGCGAGGAAGGTGTGATGAGAACTGACAAAGAGGGAGGAAGCAGAAGAAGGCGGAGAAATTAGTAAAGTTATTTAATGGAGGGCCAACAGCAAACGATGGTCGATTCTAGACATTTGGAAGTTTGTTTTAGATTCTGCAATAGTTAACGAATTTTAGCTTATTTTTTAAGATCGATGGGAAATCCTTTGAGACAGATGCTACTTGGAATCTGAGCAGTGGGGTTTGCAAACTTCTTCAACGTCGCTTATTGTTGGAGCCGGAAAATCCACTGTCGTTGGTAAAAAGGAGGATAGTTGATCACATGCATCGGACATACAGGAAGCCAGGTGGGATATTTTACGTCGAGAATGTTTTGTAAAAACAGATTTAAATGTTCAGCATATGAGAATTCTATTGGTAGGAACATAAGGGTTGTGATCTGAAGCAGCGCAAAGGGAGGTTTTCACGATCATGACGAAGTTCAAATAATGGGAATCATACATAATGGAAAGACTGGCTAAACCCCTAAGGGTGCGAACTGTTACGCAATTCGCAGCGAAGGACATGCTCCCAGCGATCTAGCATGGCCGTCCCCACGGCGCTATCGGCATGACACGCCCACCGACCGGCTTACCACTTGTCGTATGTCTCTATCCGTTCAGCAGAGAGTGTTAGCAGAAGAGGGCGGCACCGATGAGAGTCGCATCATGCGGAAATCAACAGACAAAAAAGGCATCCCATTGCTCGGGTTCTTGATTGTTTCTCATATTTTTTTCTTTATCAAGTACCACTGACCACCTCCCTTGATTCCAATGCGCTGTCTTTCGATTGTGAACTCTGCATTTGAATGGTTCACCCATGTGTAAAAAAATAGTAAGACAGGGGTCAAGAATACGGCATCGACCAATAACTTTCCTTTTGGGATACGCCACGCATTCTATTTCCATCCAGAATCGTAGTAGCATTTTGGGTACGATTTGTACCATACAATCGCTTCCGGAGACCAGCTGATGTACCAGTGTGTTTATCCCCTTGAAAGAGTCTTACTACTCTTCGGCCGGTCCGGACAGATAGAGAGTTTTTGGTCTGGGCTCAGTGCGGTCCAGAATTTGACCCCCTCACAGGTAAGCAGCGGCTACTACACCACTTCCACCCGTGACATAACAATAGGTGTCGTTTAGTGTCTGATTCTACCCTGCGAATGCGCCACTCAGTAAATGGCTTCGAACTAAAAATTCCGTGGAGATGCTGAATATTGCAATGCTTCCATTTAGATGGGGATAAATGGATTCGTTGGGGATAAATGGATTCATAGTTGATATCTAATAGGGCTCGTTTCCAGGACATCGCAGCCCACTATTCACCGTATGTGAGACAGAGCCACGAGTTGTGACTACATTTGAGAACTTTGACTCGCTTTTGACACCACAGGATCATGTGTCGAGGTCAGGTATGACACAGTATGATTCGTACGTAGATCTATGTGTGGCTTTGCTACTGTTATCACCTGTATAACTTATCGCCCCGTTATGTGTAGATGTCCTCGAGCGGGTGCAGCAACGTCTCTATTCGTTCCTTTTGCGTGCTAGACATTGACGCTCCTCGTGTGGAGGGACGATGTCCTTCATTCCTTTCGTTCAGAGCTTTCGTGAAGAAGTCTGACCATCGGGCCGGCGGTCGTCCAGGTGTTCGTTTGACGTCCCGAGGGATCCAGTCGGTAACCGCTCTGGTCCAACGGTCATCGCAAAATCGCATGACGTGTCCGGCCCACCTTATCTTCGATTCCTTGGCGAAAACGGCAGCGTCCCTGATCTTCGATCGTTGGCGTAGTTCGGAACTCCGGATTCCCCTCTGCACTTGCGTGTATAGGGTTACTCCTAGCATCGTCCTCTCGACAGCGCGTTGGATAACGCTGACCGCATGCTCGTCCTGCCTGCGCAGAGTCCAAGTCTCTGAGGCGTAGGTTAAGGGCAGGAAGGACTGCGAATCGAAGAGATGGGCTCGGAATCGCATGTTCTTCATCTTTTTCACATTCCCTCGACGTCCTGTTATCGTGCTCCCGATGCAGCTCGCTTCCTCCTGCTTAGCTCTGGCTTCTCTATCAGTTTGATATCTGAGAAGTTATTTTTAGGAGGCCATCGGACACCTACTACGTGAACAAATCACACTGCCTTCGTGCGCATACCTCTGCTCATCAATACCAATTACTGAAAGAAGGTCTCGACGCTTTCATTGTCATTGGTGACGTATACCGGCGTGACGAAATTGATCGCACTCATTATCCTTGTTTTCATCAGGTGAGGGGATGTCATTTTTTATTATGTTTTTGCGTAAGCTGTTGTAGCCACTCACATGGGATTTCAAATTTTATAGCGATTGCAACATGTGAATCTATAACTTTGAACTGATCCACGCTTGCATAGTGGAGGTAGAACGCATAGATCACTCACTGGCCATTCTTGTAACTGCTCACGGCATTTTTCTCTGCCGTAGATGCATTCTTAATCCAGATCCACAGCGGTCGGGCTGTTGTCGTAGGTCGGCATGAGGGTGGTATTCGGGAATCACAAATTAAAAAAGCTTCACGAATGTTGTTTCGAGAAATCCATCTTTACAGGTGGAAGGTGTTCGATTGTTTTCATCACATCAACTGTTCAATACTCTGCCTGGAGCTGAATTGCCTATCTTAGAAAATACGGAAAGGACGCCAACCAAGCAAGAGAAGCATACTGAAGACGCTGCCAAAGCTCTTGAAATCCAACTGAAAAACCACTCTAGAGGTAGGATGTTTGATACTCAATCGTTTTACGTTTGTGCATGTAAGGCCGCGGTCATGTGGTCTTGCCGTTTTTCGTGAAGTAGATGCATATTGATCATGCATCTTGCGATCCTATGATCGATACGTATCTATTCTACACTCGAACTGCAAATGAAATCAGAGCCAGTTACGACGCAAGACACAGGCTTAACCTTGCCTGCATAAAATTCCCGTTACTTTTTCAGGGGCGGAAGTGGTGTAGTGGCAAGTGGCGCGCTTACCACGCGAGCGGTCCGGGGATCAAATCCTGGGTCGTGAGTCGCCCGGGCCAACCAAGCCTTCCATC